CTTTTTGAGACAGGGTCTCGTTACCCAGTTCAGGCTGGCCTTGAGCTCACTTTGTAGCCCAGGCTGGTCTCAAACTTGCAGTAATCCTCCTGCCTCAGCCTCCCGAGTGCTGGGATTACAGGTGTGCACCACCACTCCTGGCTTAAATTTTAACATTGTTAACTGTTAAGTTTTTGGTTTATACAGTTTGCTTTTGATTGTTATCTGCAGATTCTTTCATGTTAAATGACTTGTCCAGGTTACTTAACTACTAGGCAAAGGGACTTGACTCAGCCTTTGCTGAATAGGAAGTATAAGGGTGCGCTCTGGGGAGACACTGTGTAAGAGTAGCACTGCTCGATGAACAGAAACACACACACGCTCTCACTCAAGAAGAAAGCAAAACTCTTGCAAGTTGTGAGCAGTCATGTGAAGTAAACAAGGCCAATCCATCTCTAGAAAATCATAGAAGATTCTGGAATATGGCTTTAGGAACTAGTGAAATCAGCAAGCATTTCCTGTGTTGATGTCACAAGTCTGGCATTTATGTTTGTCTTTCCTTTTGTCTTTTAAAATTTTATTTTATTTATTTATTTTTGTCTTTTTGAAACAGGGTCTCACTGTGCAGTTCAGGCTGGCCTTGAGCTCGCTTTGTAGCCGAGGTTGGACTTGAACTCACAGCAATCCTCCTGCCTCAGTCTCCCAAGTGCTGGGATTATAGACCTGCGCCACCATGCCCAGTTTTTATTTTTATTAGTATCTGTTTGCAGTACATAAATATTACTTGAATTGTGAGGAGTGGCTACAGGTACATAGCATGTCTTAGTTCATTTTAGGTCTCTTTTGCCTCCCCCTTCCTTCCATCTCTTGATTTCTTTCCTTTTTGCAAAAGATGTATCTCTCTGTTTCCTATTATCTTTTGTTTTGCACTTTAATTTATTTATACTTTCTCATGTAAGAAAAACTATACAATATTTAAGCTTGTGTGTTTATTTCACTTAATATTGTGAACGATGCATCTGTTCTCCCACAAATGACTCAAGTTTATCATTTTTTATGGCAGAGTAGTATTCCACGGTGTGTAAATACATTTTCTTTATCCATTCACCTTTTGATGGGTGCTTAGGCTACTTCCAAGATTTAACAATTGTAAGTTGTACTGCTGTAAACATGGGTGTGCATGATCACTGTAATGTGTCTTTAATTCTTTTGGAAAGATACATAGGAATACCTGGGTTGAATGGAATTTCTAGTTGTTTTTTTTTTCTCAACAAGGCTTTTACTTTTGCAAAAGGGTGCAAGCACACCCCAGCAATGAGGTAGCAGATGCCATGAGCATTGTGGGAAGCTGGAGTTTTAAGCCCTACGGCATGGGAAGCAGCTATCCTTTTATTTTATTCTACTTTATGTTTTTGCCTTGAATTTTTTTTCATTTTTCCAGTCCGATTTTATTAGTACATTTTAGATACACATAATGATCACACTCATCATAGAGAATTTCTCTCTGTATATGATGACTTGTTTCTTTCTCCCCTTCCCCTCCCCTCCCCTCATAACCCCCTCCCTGTTTACAAAGGAATTTTTAGTTTCAGTTTTTGAGGCATCTCCATACTGCTCTCCATAGTGGTACAGCCCCATCCGTAGAGTAGAAAAGCCCCTTTTCACCAGAAACCTCACCAGCGTTTGTTGTTATTGCTTGCTTTTTTTTTTTTCTGTTTTTCTTCCTTTTTTGCAGTACTGGGGATTGAATGTGGGCTTCATGTGGGCTAAGCAGCTGCTATATCACTGAGCTACATCCCTAGCCCTATTATTTGATTTCTTAATTGATATTTATTCTGGAGTAAGATGGAATTTCAGTTTTAATTTACATTTCTTGATCCGTCAGTGACGTTGAGTATTTCATGGATTTATTGGCTGTTTGTCCATCTTCTGAGATGTGTGTCTTCATTTCAGTTGCACATTTTTTGCCCAATTTTTTTTTTTTTTTTGGTACCGGGAATCGAACTCAAGACTGTGCTTGCCAGGCCGGGCACTGTGCCTCTGAGCCATATTGCCGGCCCCCATTTTTTTTTCCCCAGTACTGGGAATCGAACTCACAACCTTGCGCTTGCCAGCCAGGCGCTATGCTGCTGAGCTAAATGCCCAGCCCCTCGGCCCCTATTTTTTGATTTGGTAATCATCTTTGGCTTTTGAATTTGCTTTGGGAGGAGAGAAGAGATAAAAGATACAATAAAGTAATAGAAGATTCTTAGATAATGAGATTTCAAGGTTGTTCCTTATCTTTGTAATAATGTACTAATTTCCCATTCTAGTCTGTATAAAGCCCATCAGACAAATGCTGTGATGCACCTGTTCGGTGTGTAGTCACTATAGGTAAATTGTGTCTTCAAGACCGTAGGCCAAAGTAGGCATGGTGATAGACTGCTGTAATCCCAGCACTTGGAAGGCTGAGGCAGGACGATTGCTGCAAGGTCGAGGCAGCCCGGGCTACATAGCTAGTTTGAGGCCAGGCTGTACTATGTAGTGAGAGCCTGTCTCAAGTCCCCCTGAGGAAAACGAAAAAACAACTATGGACGGAACACGAAGGGTAAGTACTGACTAGATCAGCCTGGTGGGCTCGTCCTTCACGCTGACCTGGAGGGGGTTCCAGGTTAGACAGATGAGGCAAGGGCAGGCCACGGTCAGAGTTACTGTGAGGCATGATGGGTGTTCCTGGTACCTTGAAAACACCAGGGAACTCAGCCCGTGTCCTGATCACAGAGCGAGGTGATGGGGAGAGCCAGGGCTTTGGAGTCGGCTGACGCGGGGAGAAACCCAGTTCATTCAGTGAGTTTGTATCGTGTACAGCGTTTACGTGCATTTTAATTCTCCTAGCAGACCTTGTTTGTTTTGCAGTACTTGGGTTTGAACCCAGGGCTCTTGGTGCTGAGCTGCATCCCCAGCCCTTGTTTTTGTTGTTCTGAGATGGGGGGCTCACAGAGTCGCTAAGTTGCCCAGGCGGGGCTCGAACTCGCAGACCTCCTGCCTCAGGCTCCCAGGCTGCTGGGAGTACAGGCGCGCGCCCCGCACCCGGCCGCGACAGTCTCGCAGTGGGGGTGCAGTCCTGCCCTGCTTTGTAGGTCGGGGCACCGCGGGTCAGAGACGATCAGTGTGGCCGAGGGCGCGCGGCAGTCCGCGCACAGCCAGTGCCCGACGAGGCGGGCTCTGCAGCCGGGCCGTCGGCCTGAACCGCTCCCGTGGTTGCGAGCGCCCCGCGGGGATGCCCCGGCAGCGGCACAGGCCTGGGTCTCCGTGCAGGGGAGGCGGCCGCTCCCTGGGGCCCCTGCGCGGTGGTGA